TTTCAAGCTCAAATCTCCAAAACTCTCAATAAACAAAGTCCCATGTAATTAAAGTGGTAGTAAAGTCTGATTTTTGTACTTGTACCTACAGGTAACCCTATAACAAGGCTTACCTATAGGTACTGTAAATATCTTCTAAATGTGCACAGTTTAGGAAGATTTACCTGTGTAGAACACTGGCCCATGTGCTCTGAAGGAGCGGCATGCCTGTACCATTCCTTCAGAGCTGTGTGCCGTACAAAATGACTCCCGTACGCATGCGTGAGAGTGACGTCATCACGGCTCAGCCATTCAAGCCCCTGGAGCCTGCGAACCTGGAAGTAGGACCAAGTGAAGATGGAAGCCTGTCAGTGGTGACAGCGGACGGCTTCGTTTTAAGGTACGTTTTGCATACTAGCATTATTTGCAGGGTGAAACCTTTTTTTTTTTTTTATACTTCCCCTAGGGTTTACTACCCCTTTAAATAGTAGCTTTTCACATATGCATCCACAGACTGTAGCTCCTGTGACTCAATGCCTGATGCTCCAAAAGCTACATGAGGCCAATTCAGGCACTTTTGGTCCTATAGACTTTAATGCTTAAATCGAGTGATTTCGAGTGCTTTTTTCCAGGCTTTTTTTTTGTAGTAAGAACTGGTTTCCTCACCTAGGACATATGTAAAATGCTTGAAATGCGCAGGTATGAATGCCATGGGAAGTTCACAGTAGAAGGACTGAAATGCTCTACTTATCCTGCCCCCTCCTATGCGCTTACATTAAGGACTAAAGGGTGGAAAACTGCTGAATCACTGAATCACTGCTCTTTTTACCTCCTATGATGCATGGCTTTATCAGCTAACAGGAATATAAATATGTCAGCTAAGTAATGGTATAGCTAAGATATATGATATTCATTTCTGTGATGACTTCAACTGCCTGTTATGTTGATGCTATAACCGAGCACAGTATGTCATGCAGCTACAAATTTCTGTAAACAATGTTAATGGATTGCTTTAATTATGTCTGGCCAGCATAAATACCTAAGCAGGGGCAGATTGTGCCTGCATATCTCTCTAATGTCTATTGCTGACTTCAAGTTGAACTCCAGGCACATCTAAAAAATACTGTACATAAATAAATGCAGGTCTGTATTTATTACTACATCCCTAAATGTATTTTTGAAATGCAAGCAGTGTAAGTACCCACATTTCTCATGGAATCAGCATTTTGCAATTCTTGTACAACAAAGCTCAGACTGGGTGAGGGGCAGTGTAAGAAGCCAGTTAGCTGTGTTGCAGTGCAAGGAGCATGCTGATTGAAGGAGAGAACAGAGTGACAGAGATATGAACTTTTGCTGTTGCTTCTTTTTTGAGCTCTGAGGAAGAAGGGATCACCCTTCGAAACACGTCAGTTCATCCTGAGAGTCTCCCCTCTAGATAGGACCCCGCACATGTCTGCTATCTCAGTGCGATGATGTTGGATTTTAAATGCTTTTAATATTGCTACTTTTGTGAGTTTATATCTCAATTTATTAAATTCACCCTTTATATACTGAGGTAATGCGCATGGTTGGTGCCCTTTTGTTTTTGTTCTCTGCTACAGCTGTTTTTGGGCTTCCCCAGCCTTGTGTTAGAGCTGCACAACCCGTTATCTGCCGCCGGATGAACTTTCATATATGGTTCAACCTGCTAAATTCTAATCTGGGTCTCTGAGCGCAGGAGGTTTTGTTTCTGTTTCCACACTACAGATATCACAGATCGTTTCCTAGACACTTCCTCCATTCAGAAAAAGCCTAACATTCTTTTCACTGAATTCAATGCGTTTTGCGAACGAATGAAACATGGATGATAGCCATGATCTCCCCTCCCCCAATCACAGAATGGCTGCATTATGTGAAAAGAATGCAAGGCTTCTTCTGAATGGAGGAGATGCTGAGACCCTCTGTGATATCTGTATTACAGCTAGAACAACAAGTCTCACAGCTGACATTCTTTTCCATCGAGATACTGCAAAATGAAAAAGTAAAAGATTGAACAAACACAGCAGCAGCCAGAAATAGAGCACATTTCATTGGATGTAACTTTATTGCACGGTGCAAATGTACAGGAATAGGTGTTGGCCATACTTCAGCTTTAAAGTGGTTGTAAAGGCTGAAGATTTTTTTATTTCTATGCATAAGGGTAAAATCCCTCTGTGTGCGGCATCTCCCCCAGCCTTCTTAATACTTACCTGAGCCTCATCGCGATCCAGCGATGTGAATGACAGCCTCGGCTGTCCCAGGTCTCTGCCTCCTCATTGGCTGAGACAGCAAGCGGGAGCCAATCACAGCCCATCAACCAATGAGAAGAGAGAGGGGGCAGGGTCAAGCCATGGCTCTGTGTGTGAATGGATACATGGAACAGCAGGTGCCCCCATAGCAATCTGCTTGCTGTGGGGGCACCTGACAGAAAGGAGGAATCAGGAGAGTCTGTGGGGGGCCCGAGAAGAGGAGGATCCTGGCTGCTCTGTGCAAGACCACTGCACACAGTAGGTAAGTATCCACCTCCGAAGAAGTGCGTGTACACGAAACATGTTAGGAGCCAAGAACGCCGTGACGTCACGCTGCCAGAGCCACGTGGAGGCTCGACGGCCATCTTACTTTCTGGACGGTTAGTCCATGCTATATACCTGACGCTGCTTGATTTTAATACTGGTTTTCATACTGAGGAATTTGCAAATCCAATAATATAATAAATTATACTTTAAACTACTACACTATGGGCACTCTTTACGGTCTCCCTTGAGGAGCTATTTATTAACAGAGCCCGCGTGATCCAGCCATCCAAGAATCCAGAGAGGTGAGTTCCTGTAAGTAGGCATCTGCACCCATCCATCCCTTAAAGGGACCTCTGGCCAGCTGGATCCTTTTACTTTCCTGTGTGCTCCAGACAATACCACCCACCTAGAGGGAGGATTATCCTTATCCTAGACCAGATCCATATCCATAAAGGAGACCTCTACTGATTCATATAATGCGTATTTATATTACGCATCTGGTGAGTGCGTAATTTTACCACACTATTTGGAGCACCACTACTGGATTTTTTTGTGATTCCGCACCCTTTATCTGCACAGACTGTCACCTTCATTTTAACATATCCTGGGCATTTAATTTAATTTTTATTGAAACTATTTATTGTTGGACAGACAATCCTAATACTTTTTATTATTTTAGCGCTGCACGTATTTATTTTAAGTAAAGACTTGTTTGTTATTTTACAACAAAAAATGAACCTTTAGAATCACTTTAACTGCAGCATAGAAGAATAAGGTCTATTTTCCAGAAAGATGGCAGAACTGAGTAAATCTCTGGATTGGATGGACAGAAATACCAATTAATTGGCAGATAAAACAGCTGCCATATTTTTACTTCATCGTTGACTGTTTGCCTGGAGTTCCACTTTAGGAGCGAAGAGAGAAGTTTTAAAACACTGCCAGGCATGAATCCTCTGTGGCCATAACCAGCAATCAAATTGCTGAAATCTCTATAAAAATTTATAACTAGACGGAGGAAGTAAGGCAGCAGTGGGATCACTTCATTAAGAGACTAAAAAGCAAACTATATAGAGAAATTGATATTTTATTCATACAGCATTTATTCCTGACGGTTTTAGAAGCAGAATTAGGCCAAGCATGCACTGGCTGACAGGTACAAGTAAAAAAAAAAAAATAAAAAATCTGATTTGCTGGGGATCTGTCTGATCCAATCAGCAGATATTTTAACCACTGAGCTGCAGTTTTTTTTTTATTACAATAAATGGAACGCAATTAAATGGATATTCTTGTGTACAATAAGTCCTCATGCACACTGGACATTTTTGCAGCTGCTCCTAGGGGTATCATGCATTTTTTTTCCTGCCTCTAAACACCCCTGCATGTTAGCCTATGTGTCCATGCACACACAGATTTTTGGCAGTGTTTAGTAGCAGGGGCTTTTAGAAAAACGACTAAGGGCCAGTTCACACCTCAAAAACACACTCTGGATGCATTCCGGATACGTTTTTGCTTACAGTTCATACCATACATCGTTTTGGTGCAGTTTTGATGCAGTTTGCTATGTTCCAGTATGGTTCTGTGCAGATAAAATGCAGCATGTTCTACTTTTTTCTGTACTGGAAACTGATTGAAACTGACTGAACTGTTGTAAACTAGAACCATTGGAATGCATGGAAAACACTTTGCATGCATTTTTGATTCAGAAAAAAAAGCACTGGACTGCATCTGATGTGAACTAGCTCTTACACTTGTAAACGCATGCATACGCACCTAAACACATCTAAACGCGTGTTAAGCACTTATCCTCCAGAGAATTTACCTCCCTTCCTGACCAGGCCATTATTTGCACTATAAAAAAAGCAACAATTTTGAGAAAAAAACTATATTTTTGACTTATTGCTATTAAATATATCCAGTAAAAAAAATTGTAAAAATCAAATTTCATCATAAATTTAGGCCAAAATGTATTCTGCTACATGTCTTTGCTTAAAAAAAATCCCAATATGTGTAATATAATTGGTTTACGTGAAAGTTATAGCATTTACAAATGGCGATATATATACTTGGAATTTTTAAAAACATTTTTACTAGTAATGGCGGCTGTCATGTTTTACATGACTGTCACATTGACTGTCATATACCTTTAAATGTTTTCTATGTTTTTTTCTCTGCTCCTCCCTTTCCTTTGGTTTAGCTACTGCTGTATAGATAGCCCTCCCCCTCTCCCAGAGATGCATTGCAGTAAGCCTCATGGCATGGAGCAAGAAACAGTATGTTCTTTTGACCTATGGAATTTCATTGTTGTAAGATTTTCTCAGTTTATGGCATAAACTTCACAAGATCTACAAGATGTCATTCTCATTGAGTCACTGACTGTGGTATCCAACTGAGGTTGAAGTTATCGCTATCTCATCACAACTGTAAGTTACAGAGATCACACTATCAATGCTTAGATTAGAGAGACAGAACAGCGGCGATCATTGACTTATAACGGGACTGCGGGACTGACACTGGGGGGAACTGACTTGGTGTCACTGACGTCCCCAGTGACACCAATACAGTGATCAGTGCTAATAAAAAGCACTGACACTGTATTAATGGCACGGGACAGGAAGGGGTTAACATGTGGGGTGATCAAAGGGTTTACAGTGTGCTGTTTTACTAGGGGCTGTGTCACTGTAAGCACACTGCTTTGCGTGGCTGTGCAATGGAAAGCAGTGTGCAGGAGCTGACAGGGTAGAGAACTATTTTATTTACAAAAAGTTCTCCCCCCCTTGGAGATGCACAGCAATCACCGGCCAGGACCTGGTGATTGACAGCCACGGCCGTGAATGGTGGCGTAGGTAAGGCGTGCGAGCGCCTTGTGCGTGCCCCCAACCCGCAAATGCAAAATCACGTATATATACGTGATTTTGCGCACCTGTGCTGCCTTGTAGCAGTACTTCTGCTATAGGACGGACGGGACGTGGTTAATGCTATGCGCTTTTAGCGCTTGAGCGTTATTTCAGCTCAAAGGCCAAAAAAAATTATTATTCTGGCCAATTAAATCAATCAACACCCAAGTGCTTTGCACCTGTAAGTGCGCCTAAACTCGCCTAAAAGCGTTACACACTTTTACCACCATCAGGCATTTTTTTCTGCCAAAACGCTGCTGCTTGGAAGAAAGGCTTCTATGAAAGTTTGCAATACGGCCCGTGTGCATGAGGCCTAACAGTTCAGCACACAAATACTAGAGCTGGTCTACCCATGGCTGTGAATCTTTTGTCATACAGACACCAGCCCTTTATCATCCTTCGTTTCTAATTTAGCAAATCGTCTTTCATCACTTGTGTGACTACTAACAGTTTTTTGTAGTGTGTTTGATAAGGTTTCTATGGTGAATATATAATTTATACAAGTGCATGCTTAGCCTTCTGTTTCCTTGATGATTCATAGGAGCCCTCAGAATGGTATCCCGTTTCCTCACAGGGCTTAAGTGAGACAGGAAGGAAGGGGGCCTCGAATAAAACACCAGGATCACATGAAGGGACAGGCACATGCAAGGAAATGTGTCAGACAAACAGCTCGATCTGTTCAAAGTTGAACTTGCTGGGCTCGCAGCCATGGCTGCACAGCAGGTGGAGATAAATAAAACCTGGTCTATTCTGAACCTTTAATCAAGAGCATGTGATAACAAGCTTTCTAACAAAAGGAAACTGGTGAAAATAGTAAACAGTGGAGTGTATTCATCTTATACATAGCATATACCCATTTTAGATTATTCCACTATATATCACTACTGCAATAAAAAAATCATAAACATTAGAAGGTATTTTTAGAAGTAACTAACCACTGAAATCATTTCTTTCAGGCTGTCACAGACTGTATGAATGTTCAGATTATCCAAGTGCATATTATTATCCAGAGGCTGATATCAAGAGAAGTGTGGTCTGCCATCTTCAGAGCTGAACCCGAGAATAAATAGTAGTATCTAGCATAATTAATCTAGAGGATAGATAATAGTGATCCACAGAAAGTATCTAAGATGACTCATCTAGAGGAAAAGTAATAGGGATCCACTGAAAGTGTCTCTGATGACTCATCTGGAGGAAACGTAATAGTGATCCACTGAAACTGTCTAAGATGACTTATCTAAGGGAAAAATAATAGTGATCCACTGAAAGTGTCTATGATGACTTATCTAGGGGAAAAATAGTAGTGATCCACTGAAAGTGTCTACGATGACTTATCTAGGGGAAAAATAATAGTGATCCACTGAAAGTGTCTACGATGACTTATCTAGGGGAAAAATAAAAGTGGTCAACTGGAAGTATCTAAGATAATTCATCTAGGGGTTAAATAATAGTGATCCACTGAAAGTATCTAAGATAACTCATCTAGAAGACAAATATTAGTGCTCCACTGAAAGTATCTAAGATGACTCATCTATAGAAAAAATAATAGTGATCCACTAAAATGTCTAAGATGACTCATCTAGAGGAAAAGTAAGAGGAATCCACTGAAACTGTCTAAGATGACTCATCTGAGGGAAAAATAACAGTGATCCACTGAAAGTGTCTACGATGACTTATCTAGGGGACAAATAATAGTGATCCACTGAAAATGTCTACGATGACTTATCTAGGGGAAAAATAATAGTGATCCACTGAAAGTGTCTACGATGACGTATCTAGGGGAAAAATAATAGTGATCCACTGAAAGTGTCTACGATGACTTATCTAGGGGAAAAATAATAGTGATCCACTGAAAATATGTAAGATGACTCATCTAGAGAAAAAATAAAAGTGGTCAACTGGAAATATCTAAGATAATTAATCTAGGGGTTAAATAATAGTGATCCACTGAAAGTGTCTAAGATAACTCATCTAGAATATAAATATTAGTGTTCCACTGTAAGTATGTAAGATGACTGATCTAGATTAAAAATGAAAGTGATCCACTGAAATTATCTAAGATGACTCATATATAGAAAAAATAATAGTGATCCACTGAAAGTGTCTAAGATGACTAATCTAGAGGAAAAGTAATAGTGATCCACTAAAAATGTCTAAGATGACTTATCTAGTGGAAAAAAAAAGTGGTCAACTGAAAGTACACTATATTGCCAAAAGTATTGGGACACCCCTCCAAATCATTGGATTCAGCTGTTCCAATCACCTCAATGGCTACAGGTGTATACAAGAAAGCACCTAGACCTGCAGACAGCTTCTACAAACATTTGTGAAAGAATGGGTCGCTCTCAGGAGCTCAGTGAATTCAAGCGTGGTACCATGATAGGTTGCCACCTGTGCAATAAGTCCATCCGTGACATTTCCTTGCTACTAAATATTCCACGGTCAACTGTTAGTGGTATTATCACAAAGTGGAAGCAACTGGGAACAACAGCAACTCAGCCAGAAAGTGGTAGGCCTCATAAAATGACAGAGTGTGGTCAGCGCATGCTGAAGAGCACAGTGCACAGAAGTTGTCAACTGTCTGCAGAGTTAATAGCTAAAGACCTCCAAACTTCATGTGGCCTTCAGTTTAGCACAATAACAGTGTGTAGAGAGCTTCATAGAATGGGTTTCCATTGCCGAGCAGCTGCATCCAAGTCTTACGTCACCAAGTGCAATGCAAAGTGTTGGATGCAGTGATGTAAAGCCAGGCAATCATTATTTCATGTCTAAGACAAAGTCAGGCAATAATTATTATTATTATTATTATTATACAGTATTTATAAAGCGCCAATAGTTCACTCAGCGCTGTAGATTACAAAGGGGGACAGAACATGTGACAGAACAATACCAATACAATGCAAAACATGAGGGGATCGAGGGCCCTGCTCTTTCGAGCTTACAATCTAGGAGGGAGGGGATGGTGGTACAGGAGGAGATAGCTGTGGGGGATGGAGTGGTAGGAAGAGTGGAGGAGGTCAGCAAGTTAGCAGGGGGTGAGGTAGGCTTCCCTGAAGAGATGGGTTTTCAGGGTGCGCCTAAAGGAGAGGAGAGTAGGTGATAATCTGATGGGTTGGGGCAGGGAGTTCCAGAGGATGGGTGACACCCTGGAGAAGTCCTAGAGGCGGGGCATGGGAGGAGGAGACCAGGGAACTAGAGAGAAGGAGGTCTTGTGAGGAGCGGAGTGTGCGTGCTGGGCGGTACTTGGATATTAGGTCAGTGATGTAGTTTGGGGCAGTATGGTGGACAGCTTTGTACGTCAGTGTTAGGATTTTAAATTTGATCCGTTGCGCAATCGGAAGCCAGTGGAGGGATTGGCAGAGGGGGGTGGCGGAAACGGAGCGGTTGGAAAGGTGAATGAGTCTGGCAGCCGTATTCAGGATCGACTGAAGCGGGGATAGCCAGTGGCGAGGCAGGCCAGTGAGGAGGGAGTTGCAGTAGTCGAGCAATAATCATTTCACATCAATGACAAAGTCAAACAATAATCATTTCAAGGCTGATTTTCTGACCAAAAGGATCCAAGGACCCCACAGAGTGTTATACTGATCCTGGGTTTCATGGAGATAGGCCATCAAGTTCTCCATTCTTACAAGAAGACAGTTGACCCTTGGACCCAATTCTTAATGTACAGTATAAGTAGGTTATAAATGCTGATTCTCCTTGTGCTAGCTGTGTGAATACCATGCTGGTTTTCTGGCTTTAAAACTTTCTGAATCTCTGGTCTACAGCAAGTAAGCAGATAAGGTGACCTGACTTCATTTGGACCTCACTGGAATTTATTCCAGGTCAGTGAAAATGTTAGCTCTGTACTGGTTTGAGGTTTAACACACTATTCACATTAGGTTGATCATATATACATGTTTAACCAGGTGTGAGATGGTAATTACTTTGTTCTGAGCATGAGATGTAATCCTTTGTTGATATTATCTTACTTGAAATTAATGTATTGTAAAGGAAGCAATCATCATCAATGGTTTAAACATCACTCTCCAAAGTGATTCAGAACTCAAATGCAGCTGAGCCCTACATATATTTTGTATTTGGCTGAACTGCTGGACTAACATTTGCAAGTGACGAAAAAAAAGATATGCCATTAGCATTTACTCTTGTGATGCCCAAGTGACCATGTGCATTATAAACAAAAGCAATGTGACTGAGACATCTATAGTCTTTATTCTGGGAGGTCTATAAAAATATAGTGGCTTACTGGTTAGCATTTCTGCCTTGCAGCACTGGGGACCCTGGTTTGTTTCAGGATCAGGACACTCTCTGCAAGGAGCATTTATTTTCTCCCTGTGCTTGTGTGGGTTTCCTCCCATGCTCCAATAAAAGAAAAAAAGAAATACACAAATAAACTGTTAAGTAAACTTGTTATATTAACAATTGCCACTATTGTAGCTTGTAAATAGTTACTACTTAAATAGTCCTGCACAACTTTTTGGATACATGTGTTGTATTAGGTAACATGGTTACAGTACCACTAAGGTTGCTTATTATTTTTTTATATCTGAACAATATAGATGTGACAAGCAATGTACTTGCATCATCTGTTGCATTGGATGATAAACTTTAAATAATATGATGCTGAATATGGAAGGACTCTGTATAAAGGCTGCTTTAAAAATATTCCTGACTTTTGTAACTAATTTTTACAATTTTTGAAAATGTGTTTTTTCTTAATTCAGCATTACATTTTGTGTAGCACTACCCCTTTAGGAGTCGCTGGAGATTTGGGTCTCCCTATATTCCTGCACAGCCAGGCAACATGCAATCCCTCCACACTTGCACTCCAGAGACAGTAAACAGTCCTTGACCTTGTTTTTTTTGGAAATTTTGTTAGGAGATGATAACTTGGATGGGGATGAGGGTACATGGGATGCGCAAAGAACTGTAAAACTGAGGACAACCTCCTGGAACTATGTACAAGTAGTTAGAATGGATTTTCTCTTCTCTTCTTGGAGA